ACTTCTGAAATTTGACAGAAACACAGTATGTGGATGCAATATTTTATATCATTTTTAATTCTATCCTTCCTCCAAGCAATACAGCATTGCACACATACTTCTTTTCCCCCTGCTGTTTTATTTTCGAAGTGATTAGCTTACAAACATTAAGAGAGCTTCAAGGCTGAATCAGGAGCTGAACCTATATCCTGAATGACTCCTTCTCCTTAACACTCTGTGCACTGTGTCATAAAGTCTAAGTATCTTGCAAGCAACCATGAAGATACACTCTCTCACTTTTATCGACGGTAGTCACCCAGTGTTGCAGGTAGCATTCCTTCCTTATGGATGCTGGGCAGCCTAGGTGATCTGACCATAGGAAGCAGGTAGAAGCAATGACAAAGACTTGGATCTCATTGAATATGAAATGGTGCTAAAAAGTCACAATATTATTCATCCACCTTGCCTGTTTTCCATGAAAGCTCTCATTGTAAACCACTTAAAGGATGTTTGTGTCTGAATGTTACATGCTTTCATTTCCTGTCTCTCTTCCATTGTTCTCTTATAAGTCTTATTTTTCCTGACACATCCATTTTAATAATAGGCATGAGCTACTTAGCCTGCCAAACCTATGTCTTTCAAGCACATACATATTTCAAACACACTTTTCTGTAGATTCACAGGAGTACCAAATATATTTGAATTGACTTTCGCAGCTAAAATTTTGTCACCACAAAATATGTGTAGATAGATATGTTAAGAGAATGAACCAAGGACCTTCTTAAGAGGAAAAAAAAGACACACTTTTTCCCTCTATATAAACATCTCTAATACTGGGGTGTATTTTGGAATCACGGTTGCTTACCTATATATACATACACATACACACGTGTGTGTATGTTTGTGTGTGTGTGTGTGTGCGCGCGTGCTTGGTTGTAAAAAATACATAAGATTGTGGGTGAACTATAACTCATGTCATTATTATTAGTTCATGTATTTCTACCCCACCCTTCTCTCCCCGATGAGGGGCTCAGGGTGGCCTCACACAGCATCATATGTTGTTATGTTGAGCAAGTTTGCTCTAAATGCATCATTGGTGTAGTTCAGTGGCTCTCTGGCTTTAGGGTAAACTGCTACTCCCACTATGGTAAGTCAGTCCCCTCAAACCCCACCTGTAGGTTGAGTTAGTCATGGGGATTCTGTTTGATTCAAGTCCATCACTGGTGGGATCTATAGCTATTTGTGGAAGTGGGAGCTTCTTTGTGTAAGTGGACACTCCAGTCACACACACATATACATATTTTCACCTTGTGTGTGTGTGTGTGTGTGTCACTTTGTTTCTATTGTTGGTACTGAAATTAGGTGTGTCTTGTAATCAGTGTAATCAGTAGCATCTTAAAATTGAAGAAATGCAGTAATTGCTTTTAGGTATTTTTCTGGCATCCTTATATAGAGATGTTTACTTTCTAAGTTAATCAACAAAGAGTACAAGGCCATATCGGCAGAAGTTCCTGAGAGAAGTCATTGATCCTCTCCTTTGACCTCACCATGTTTTCATCATGTAAATACAATTTTGGGAAGTGGTTTTATAAATAGTTTTAATTATTTATCTGTTTTAGATAGTAACTTATATATTATCAAAGAGAGGACCCCCCAGTGGCGCAATGGGTTAAACCCTTGTGCCGGCAGGACTGAACACCGACAGGTCGGAGATTTGAGAAAACCAAAAAGAACAGAGATTTGAAATTTATACATCCTATATGTATAGTAATGTATAAATAATTGCATTTGTGTATTGACTTATGGCAACCCCATGAATTTCATAGGGTTTTCTAAGGCAAGAAATACTCAGAGTGGTTTGCCATTTCTTTCTTCTGATACATAGCCTACAGCATCAGGTTTTCATTGACAGTCTACTATCCAAGTACTAACCAGGGCCAATCTTATTTAACTTTTGAGATCAGGCAGCATTTGATGCCTTTAGGGTTTTTAGTCTAAATTAATTGGAAACACAGTACATCTCACTAAAGCAAGGGAGATTGTTGACAGGCATCTTCAAGGCACTTGCTCTCCTTTCTTATGCATCAAGTTTAAAATGGATTTGCACTGGACACCAACTCTTCAAATGGAAGACTACAATCAATAAAGAAGGACAGATTGTCATTCAAATGTATCTAAATCCATCTACTCTAACTCTGAATGGCTTTCCAGGGTCTTAACCCAAGGACTTCCATTGCAACAACAAAAAATGTCGTAGCACTAACATGTAGTATATTCCCAGAATGTAGTTTTTTGAAAAGTTCTGCTTTGGATGAATATTCCTAAAACTATAATATAAAAGCAGTAACTCTGATCTCTTTCTATACTGTTCCTTAATGATTTGGGGTTTTTTCCCCCATGTTTATCATGGTAATAATTCAAAGGCATATATGTGTTCACTATGATCGTATCATGCATGCATTTTGTTTTCATTCAACAATTTTGAAGATAACATGTTTCAAATATTTATTCTGTTTCACCATAGAATGTCCATGGGGACATATTATCCTGTAAACATTTACATCAACTTAAGTCGTGATAATTTCAGTGGAAAGTGCACTCTGATAAGTGCATTGTAATTACAGTTTCATATTGGCCACATTATTTAAATCACAAAGCAATAAAATGACCTTTTCTCTTATAGACATCTATAGACACCTATGTAACATTTTATGGATTTAGCCACCATGTGAAGAGATAGTAATCCTAATATGTAACATTATTCTTCACTATTGAAACAATCTAGGACATTCTATAGATTGTGCAACACAAATTTTAAAAACCAAACTTACAAGAGTCTTTGTGATAGTTTTTCAGGAAAATCTGACAGCTGTTCTTATTGTATCTTTTCCATCAAAACTTTGTGCAAGATGGAAAATGTCAAGGCATACCTGGAAGTAATATATATGCATATACAGTGCAGTATACATATTCCTTATACAAAATATGCTTTAATAAAAGCCAGCATATAGACTTTAACATTTTTGAATGAAGTGTGTTTTTTTTTCCTTCTCCCAAGACTGATATTTTGTGCATCTCTCCTCCCCTCTCATTTGGTGTGCGTGTAGATATATATAGATATATAGATACACACACTCACACATAAATGATAGTTTTGAGAGAAGAAAAATAACTAAATGTCACAAATGATCGGTTTTGCTCTTCTGTACAAATAGTTGACAGCTCCCCTATTTGTAGTAAATGTACTGAACTTTTGCAGACTATTCCTTTCAAATATAAGCACTTCCTTCTGAAAGTTTAACACCTATAAGTAAGTGTGTTTTAAAGAACACTTTAAAATATCTACATTACAGAATGCATGAAGAAAAGACACAAAGAGAGAGGACTGGAGGATGAAAGCTATTAAGGTTAAAGGTGGGCAAAACATCCTTCGGGGAACAGAAAGTAATAGTGTATAGCAATTGCAGCTTCAGTAATTATGTGTCTTTTTTATTTTCTCTGAGTTGATATTTATTCAAGCGGTTTGATCATAGTACACCAAAACTGATGTCACAGCAAGCATGTCATTTACATATATGTAGAATTTGTTGTTGTTTTTCTGAAACCCATTATGAATACTTTAAACCTTTTCCCGTCACATTCATGTTGGTAAATTTTTGATCACAATTCCACTTCAGGAGTTGTTGCTACAAAACATAGGGATAGTGCTCTTCATCTAGCTGCCATAACCCACTTTTTCTCACCTTCCCCCCTCCAAAAATCGAATATTACTGGTTGGTGAAAGAAGCATCCAGTTATTTACCTGTAGCTGGATGTAGAACAAAAATTACCAGTGAAGACCTCCTTGGGTCCCTACAGATGCTCTCCTTCATCTGAGTCTTGCTAGAATACAGTACATAGAAGTGAAATATAAACTAATACATACAAGAAAATAGAATTATGGGAAGATTGTGGCATGCTGTTTTTCACTAACTGAATTACCACCCTACCTGTATTTACTCCTATCTAATGCACCATTGAATCTAATGTGCACCTCAATTTTCCAAACCCTGAAACCCAAAAAAGTATTTGCTGACAAATTTAATGTGAGCAGCAAAAGGTGCACTCTTTGTAATACGCCCATTGCAGTTGCTGCCTATTTAAAGTTCTTTCTTTAAAAACAAAAGTGTTAGATCACCAAAGCTTTCAGCAATGGAAAATAAAACCTTGGAGTGCATCTATGCCAGGCATAGGCAAACTTTTGAAAAGGGGTGCATGCCGTGCCAGGCCTGGGCAGATGGGGGCGGGAGACCTCCTGAGAAGAGAAGGGCTTGACAAGTGGTTGTGCAAGCTCTCGTGAGAGCCCTACATAGTCCCATGTCCCTCAAGCACTCCTCTTCACAGGAGGAATCAGCAGCCCATCATGTCCTCCCACGAAGAGGACAGCTTGATATGTGGCTGCACAAAGATCTCGGGAGAGCCCTGCACAGCTGCATGTGACAGAGAAGGCTGGGGCCAGGACTGGGATGTGTGGCTTGGGTCAGAACTGGGGCCAAAGCATGATTCATTGAACATGCTCTGCTACACTGAGCCTGTGCAACCTATTGGTTTGCTAAAATGCTTGGGCAGAAATGTACCCTTTCAAAATGGTCATGGCTGGGTACAGACATCTAATAAAATATCAGTCAATTTACTTATTAATAGGAAGGTCTTTCAATACCTGGAAAAGTTAATGAAGATAAATATCTGTTTATATTGCATTAATAATGTGAGAGACTTACGTTAGCTACTATTTCTGTATTCCATCATGATATAATTTTGCCTGAATATATTTGATGCATTATTCCTTGTGTGCAATCTGATTATGTTTGGATAAAATATGCATTCACTACATTTTATGCTAATGAAGCAGTCCCATACAAACACAATACAAAGAGCTGTCACAATGTCAGAGTCCATCAAAGCAAAGTGCTGATCTTTTCAGGTTGCCATACCGTGATAGCTATTTACTGTTGTTATTATTGTTTTATGGTTTTACCCAGATCTCCTGTTATGGCTGGAGGCTTATTCGCTGTTAACAGAAAGTGGTTTTGGGATCTCGGTGGCTATGATCCAGGTTTAGAAATCTGGGGAGGGGAGCAGTATGAAATTTCCTTCAAGGTAAGCCATCAAAATAATTCTTCATGGTAAATGCTGTTTTTTTAATGGAGTAAGGAAAGCATAATAGTTTCCCTATCTCTTATACCTACATTAATATAAAATACAATTATAAGTGTTATTCCATTGATTTCTCAGTCCCAACCTAAAGCAGCTGCAGGAAATCCTGGAACCAATTTGAGGCCTGGATGGTTATTAAACAAACCACAAAGCACTGATGATCATTATGGCTTTTTTTGCATGCTTTCATGGAAATCCGTTGTCTAGCCACTGTAGTTCGAGGCTAGTTTTGAACTATTTTAATTGGTCAGTGTAGATGGACCCTTAGGCCTTTCATTATTAGTGGGGATTTTTCTGATAAAATTGCCCTGTCCATGTGGCTTTCCCATATGGCACAATTAGGCAACCACAAACTATGGGTTTCATGCTGCCCTCATGGCTGTTTTTGTGGCCCTTGTCACCAAACAAAATCACTCCCTTTAAAATACCCCCTTTAAAACATATAGCTCCCAGTGGTGCAAGGGTTTAAACCAGGGGTCCTCAAACTAAGGCCCGGGGGCCGGATGCAGCCCTCCAATGTCATTTTCCCGGCCCTCACTCAGGATCAACCTAAGTATGAAACTACTTGAAAGCACACAATAACAACAACAATCCTATCTCATCAGCCAAAAGCAGGCCCACACTTCCCATTGAAATACTAATAAGTTTATATTTGTTTAAATTGTTCTTCATTTTGATTATTGTATTGTTTTTAAGTGTTTTTGCACTATAAATAAGATATGTGCAGTGTGCATAGGAATTCATTCGGGTTTTTTTTTAATTATAATCTGGCCCGCCAACAGTTTGAGGGACTGTGACCCGGCCCTCTGTTTAAAAAGTTTGTGGACCCCTGGTTTAAACCCTTGTGCTGGTAAGGCTGCTGCCCAAAAGGTTGACAGTTTGATAGTTTGAATCTGGGGAACAAGGTGAGCTCCCATCTGTCATCTCCTGCCTCCCATGCGGGAATATGAGAGAAGCATCTCACAGGATGGTAAAACATCCAGGCATTCCCTGGGTAGTCCTTACAGATGGCCAATTCTTTCAAACCAGAAGTCACTTGCAGTTTCATAGAATCACAGAATCATAGAATCAAAGAGATGGAAGAAACCTCATGGGCCAACCAGTCCAACCCCCTGCCAAGAAGCAGGAATATTGCATTCAAATCACCCCTGACAGATAGCTATCCATCTTCTGTTTAAAAGTTTCCAAAGAAAGAGCCTCCACCACACTCTGAACAGCTCTCACAGTCAGGAAGTTCTTCCTCATGTTCTGATGGAATCTCCTTTCTTGTAGTTTGAAGCCATTGTTCCACGTCCTAGTCTCCAGAGAAGCAGAAAACAAGCTTGCTTCCCTCTCCCTGTGGCTTCCTCTCACATATTTATACATGGCTTTAAATTCTCGCCACTTTTGACATGAAAAAAATGTGAATTATGGAAAAAATGAGTGCCATGTTCATAAAAAGATCTAATCCCAACGGGAGTACATTTTTCCTTTAAAAAAAAATCAGCAAGTTGAGCAAAATGTCTTGCCTAAGAGAACTCTATGAAAGTTGCCCTAAGTCTACAAACTATTCGAAGGTGCATGCACACATGAATGAATTGGGAGGGAAATGGCACTGCCTGGAGGCTTTTGGGATTGTCAAAAATGAGGTACATGGCCCTCTCCTGCCTTGATGACCCCTCCCCTAAAAAATAAAAAGCTAAGCTTGCAGCTGCTAATTTCTTAATCACTAATACCGCTACAGTGGTGGGATGCAAGCTACAATAAAGAAAAACAGTAAAAATAATCCCTCTCCTTTCTTCCAATACAAACCAACTGTGCCTTGGGAATACAGCTGTTCTATTGTTGCTGCAGTCCATTGGTCCTCTATTAGAGATGTCAATAGTATTTTTAAAAAATGGGTCCTGGCAGTGTCAAGAAGAATTTGAGAATTCTTCACAGTTTGGGACTTTTTCTGTGTGGGAAATACATCTTCATTTCATCCACAGGAAATGCCTCTTTTCTTTTTTTCAGAATAAGTCTCAAACTATGAAGAACATTCAAAAATTGCCAATGTTGAAATGATTCCCTTGCAGGAAAGAGGGATATGGTAAAATTATTCATTCTTAACAGAAAGAATGTAAAGTGCAATGACTGATATCCTTGCTTGGTATTCAGGGGTATTATGCTATCAAATTTTCTCTCTTTGGGGGTTGGGAGGTCTTGACAGATGTATTCTTCACAGCCTCTTCTCAGTAACCTATATAGAGAGAGGGAGGGGAGAAGGTAAAGGTTTTCCCCTGACATTAAGTCCAGTTGTGTCTGACTCTGGGGGTTGGTGCTCATCTCCATTTCTAAGTTGAAGAGCCGGCATTGTCCATAGACACCTCCAAGGTCATGTGGCCAGCATGACTGCATGGAGCGCTCTTACCTTCCCGCCAGAGCTGTAAGTTCAGCAGCTCTGTGGTTTATTTTTGGTAAGCAAGTTCAGCAGATCAGTGGTTTGTTTTTGGTTAAGCAGATTCCTTATGGGATCCTTCTCTTTGTGATACTTTCAAGTAGACATCCAAAAACATTCATTATTGCACAAATTCTAAAAACTCTTCAGGTTCTTCTTGGTGAACCTCTCACCTAACCTTCCTTATAGCAGGATCTCTTTTTACAGCAGTCCTCAGGTTCACACATAGCTCCAAGATCTCTGCAGTCTGATTTAATTCTCTATGATGACTAGTCAGTGCATTACTGCTGAATAAATTGAGTGTGTCAGTCATTGACATTATTGCAAACCTAGTTACTTTCTTCAAGCATCAAAGGGACATAACATGAGTCTTCCTTTACTAATGCATACACACGCCAAAGAAATGCACTGAAGGAATTGTGCAGAAGGTGCCAGGGGACGTCTGTACTCTCAACTGCCAACATGTATTTGAGAGTGTTTGCAACGGAATCGCAGTGACCCTGCCTGAACTGAACTGGTGTCATGTAACTTTGAATCAATTCCATATGAAAAAGAAAAACACATCTGAGAGACAAAAGAAGGCCACAAGCTAAATGGATGGACAGTTTGTGTAGAGCACATCAGTTTGCACTCTGTATTGTTAACAGGGTTTCCTAAGATAAATGAATGCTGCCTCTTGCAACTCACTATTCTGATGGGAGACCTAAAGATTGTATTATCCCATTTCCTATGTCCCAGTTATTTGTCATTGGAAGGAATATAATTGCATGGCAGTCCATTCCTTTCTGTGTAGAAACCATGGTAACCATACTTGAAGCTCAGATACTGAATTGTCCCATCCTGTTTTGTTCTAGTGACAGATTCTTTGGACAGGGCTGTGTTACACAGAGGGCTGTTTCCAGCCATATCCCCTCCTTCATCTCATTACTGTCAGTTGACTTAAGGGTCCTTGTCCGTTCCCATGAATACATTTTTGAAATAGTTTTCAACAGCATTTTCTATCATTTGCCTAGAAGAAATAACAAATCTCTCTCACACACACATACACACATTCTCTCAGACACAGAGAGGATTCAGCAGAAAAACATTGTTTTCTTTGAAATATAATTAAGGCAAAGTGATGAGGTGTGGAGGTGAGATAAAGAGAAGTCATATATGGGTGAACAGAGAACAGTAGTGACTAAGATATAGCCTGTTACTTGCTGCCCTTATATAAACTAAGATGAAATATTTAGCAGTGGGTTAGTGTGGTATAGTGGTTTGAGGGTTAGACTACAACTTTCCCATGCGGTTCCGACCCAGCGTACTTGTCCAACTGTATCTCCCTCTATGTCCCACCTCAGAGTTTAAGATCTTCTGTGGAGGCCCTGCTCTCAACCCCGCTTCTGTCGCAAACACAGAGGACGAAGGACAGAGCCTTCTCGGTGGTGGCTACCCACCTGTGGAACATCCCTCCTTTCCTTCAGAAGGAAGTTGAAAACATGGTTGTGGGACTGGGCTTTCAGATAGCATGCTAACAATGGAGGAAGTGTCCTGACTGTGGCAGGATGCTCCCTTTTGAACATGGAAGGCTTCCCATGTTCCATAGACAACCACAGGCAGGGGGAAAGCCATACAGTGATTCTTCTCTATTTGGGATGGAGAAGCATCAGATGTGGGTGTGGTGGGGTCCCGGGGTTGCCCTGCTGTCCTCCTGATTCATCAAGGAGGGTAGTGAATCCCCTGCAGGACCTCATCCATGTGGTTAGGTCCTGAGGGCCCATCTATACAAACCGAATGAGGTGGGGCAGGAGGGAATGGACTTGATGGCATCCACATGGAGCTGATTTGCCCTCACACCAGACAAGACCATACAACACAATCTTGTCCTGTATTAACTAGAGTTGGGAAATACCCAGAACTTCTCCAAAGTTCTGTACCACCCCTGCACTTTGAAACCCTCTGTCACAGTTTACCCATCCATTCCATTTTCCATGGGCTTGGGCATCCCAAGGACATGAGATGGCACTTCCCATCACTGTTCTATCACCACCCTAGCAATCTCTCCTTTCCCTCCTCCCCTCTCCAAGTAGCTCTGGAACTTCAGCAAGCATCAACACTAACGACAAGTGATGACTAGGAACAATTTCGTACTCTGTGGTTGCAACTCCAATAGTGACAGGACAGTGACAGTAAGGGTGGCTCATTGCCAGTGCTGACATTTATCATCAATGCTGACATGAAATTGCTTCCAGTCATCACTTGGCATCAGTGTGGCCATGTAGACTCCCTCCCATTACTGGGGTGGCAGGGTACCTGGCCATGCGCACACTCTCCTGCCCTTCAGCAGCTTGGAAGCCATCTGTGCAGACTCCCCCTGGGTAAGTAGCCCATGTTGGTGTGCCTTGAGCAGCAGTGCTTGACATTTTACAGCAGCTACCAAGACCTTGACAAATTTTCATAAGTTCTAGCAACTACCTCAAACTCCCTATTGTTCAGATCCACTAA